GGAATGTGCCATCGGCATGTTGGGAATGTGACAGCAGGGTTATTGATTTAAATTGATCTCTGAAAGTGAGCCAAGCCACTTCAGACCACGTCTTTGCTACTACTGCACTGGATTTTTTTATTTGTATTTTTCTTTATTTTTCAACATTTTTGGCTGATGTCTGAAAAACAACATTCAACTCCGTCTGCTGTCCTCGAGGATACTCGTTCGTACGTTGAGATCTTATCTGTGGGCCTTCAGGAAGACAAACGATCAGCGGCGTATCTCCTGGGTTGTGAGTGCAGATGTCATGTAGATGGAGCTTAGATTTACAAGAGCTGACAAAAGGAGGCACCTGACTTTAAAAGAAGAGACATATAAAGTGGTTTTCTGAAAGCTGGCATCAGGAGGCAGCTTTAGAGACACGGACAATAAAAAAACTAAGCAATAATTGAAAAATTAATCAGTTAAAAAAAACACTTTAAAATATTTTCCCCATTTTGTGAGCATCTGCAGTCAGGCTCTATTAATTCTCGCTGAGCTCTCTTTGTTGCTGTAACAACAGCCTCTTGGCTGTCAGCTTGTCTCGGCTGTCTGCCTGGCATGCCGGCTCTGCAGCACAAGTGAGTCTCAGTCGGCTAATAATGACAAACCGACTCGGTGGATACAGTGTGGCGCCACCAACAAGTGGGCATTTCAGGAACACATTTTCCTCTGTAGGTCCAACACAATGTTTCTGTCACTCATAAATTATTCCTGCGCAACAACCAGCGCTGTACGGCTGCCAGATTGTGTTTTTATCGCGAAGTAGCGGCTCAACTGAGGAGGGAAAGGTTCAGAAAACAAGACTGATGATAGAAAGCAACACTCTATAAGTACGTGTCAGCTATTGTCACCCGATTGGGGTGAATTATTCTTTCTGTGGTGTGAGCGCATATTGGTGGATGCTGCCATCTATTCTCATTATCCTCCCTTCTTCCCCCGCCGGGCTGATTCTGTCCATCTTCTGCTGCACCCCTCCTTGATATGGGTCCTGAGTGCACTCATTGTTGCATTTCTCTCTTGTCAGAAAGTCAGACCCAGCGGAGAGAAGAAGAGGGGAAGAAAGGAAAGCTTCTCGATCCAGTGGCTCGGTGTCACTGACAGGAGCTTAGAGGGGGACAGTGCAACTGAATCCCAACACATTCTGGTGACACTTTCCAGCTGAGACAGAAGACAGATGGAGAGAGGACGAGAAACTAGTTGGGTAGAGA